TCATTGAACAGCGAGAAGAAAAAGGTGATTATATCTCTAAAGGAACCACCTATTTGTCATCTTGCACACTGATGAGAGCAAAGTTCCACAGGTTAATTCATGAGGGTATTTGCCCAAGTTTTCTACTGTCATAAGCCATGGGGAAGGAAACAATTGAGTTTAAAATTCTATTTTTATATGAACAGTCTGATGAGAAGTTTTGAACTTTACTCTGAGTGTACAAAAGCCACAGAATATTTTCTTTTTTACTTTTATTTGAGCAATCAAAACAGTCATCCAAAAAAACAAGCAATTCGGTGGATAATACAAATGCCAGCTACAATTAATTGAATTAACGGAGTGATAGAGTTGCCAAAGGCTAAATTTCTAAGTCTTATGACAGCTTTTGCCTGAATCTTCAGACCTGTTAAGAAGATTCCAGAAAATTTGCATCCTGGACTAGGAATGTTTCGCTTGCTCAAAACAGTTTGGAATTCTCTTGTGGGTGTTTTAGAGCCCTCCCAACCTTCAGGACTTAGGAATTAATGACCTTTGTTTGAAGCCCAGTCTTTTCATGGTTCTTAGTGGTGGTGGGTGATTCATTGGGGGAATGTTGACTTCTAGCAAAGACAAACAAACAGAAGTTGAAGTGTGACTCTGAAGTCATTTTGTGTCCAAAATTCAATCCCAAAACCTTTCCAAAAGAGAAATTTCCTAATTCCTTTTCATTCTATCTTTTGAATTTGAAACTGTGTGACTTAATGAAAAAATGAAGGTAAAAATGAAGGAAGTGCATTGGTGGTTCTGTATAGTTGGATTTCATACACATACACACACACACGCACACGCACAGAGGACTTCATGTCCAAGCAGGAGGAAACACGCTTGTGAATGCAGAAAGTCATGCTCACTTCACTTTACTTTCCTTTTGCATCCCTCTGGTACTCACCCACACCCACAGCTCCCACTTCTGTGAGCTGACAGAGTTGTGATCCTCAGTTGTCAGCATCTGAGCGGGAGCACTGTATCTATATGAGCGGGAGCACCGTGCCTGTCTGAGCAGGAGCACTGTATCTGTCTGAGTGGTGCACTGTGTATCCTGGAGGTAACACGGCAGCAGCCTTCCCTGTGCACAAGTATCCACCTCGGCTCTCCCTGCCTGCCTGGCTGTGTCTGTCCTGCTCTGCCCTCAGGCTTCCAGGCAAGGATTTCTGGTTTCTTCTTGCCCTTGACCCACATCTCACTGACCCCTGCAGACAACTGGAGCCTGCCTTCTTGCAAATAGGAGAGGACCTGCTCTCATGTTCCTGAGGCTGTGAGCAGAGCTCTGGGTGATGACTAGGCACTTTTGCCACTTGTTTGGAAGGTCAGCGTATGGCCATTGGGTGACCCTCACTTTAGGACTGAGCATCCTCTCCAGCCTATTTTTTACAACGTTCGCAGATGCTGCGTCCATCCTCAATAATGTCATTGGATAGTGGTCATTTCAACCTTAACTGACTCTTTTATTTTTTCACTTTTTGGGAAATACACTATTAATACAATTTGTCAGTATTCTCTGAGGAGCACTTATTATGCTGCAATTTTAGTATGTTTTACCAATTTAGTTGTCATAATGGGCTGCAAGTGCCTTGATTTTAAAATCTTATTTCCCAGGCCTTTCGAGAGCTGGCTATAACCTGAGATTATTTCCCTAATGGACTGTTTCTATAATGTACTTCTTAAAAGCCAAATGGTACTTCTCACTTCATTTTGCATATCCAGTGACATTTTTAGCTTGGTATTAATAATCCAACATTATAATAAAAATAATAATAGCAAGAATTTGAAAATCCATTACAAATCTCCTTAAACCCAGGTGAACTCATTAACTCTTAGATAAAATAAATTGGATTAAAAAAAAAGACTTGATTTTTTATTCTGCCTCTCATGATGACTTTGAGTAGGAATAAGAAGTAGAAGTGAATTCTCCCGACTTCAGATCTGGTGTTGGTTTTGCTAGAATGACCAATTAAGATAGGCTGTGAGATTTAAAAATGAAAACAGAGAAAGAAACTTCTGTCTTCTCTTTGAGTCAAACAGATGAATGTGAAAGCAAAGGCTGTGATTTCTGCTTTTGTCATCTGAGTGAGGTGGGATCAGGGGAAATAAGAAAGATGCTTGATTAAGTCACCCAAATTTACAAACCAAACATGTAGACAAGCTAGAATTTTCAACAACTAGAGCCTTATAAAAACAAGTTTTCTGTCCTGCATTTCAGCCTAAAATGTCAGCATTTTGACCATGCTGAGGGCTCTGTGAGTTCAGTCATCTGTGGGCTTCACTTAGGTATAATGGGCTGTGCTGTGCTTAGTCGTTCAGTCTTGTCTGGCTGTTGGTGACTCCATGGACTGTAGCCCATCAGGCTCCTCCATTCGTGGGTTGAACTGTGTCAAATTCCTGTGTTAAATCCTAACCCCACTATCTAAGAATGTGACCTGATTTGGAGACAGGGTCTCATGGGGTTGTGGGGGGATATTAAGTTAATGAGGTCATGGGGAGGGTCCTAATCCAACAAGATCGTGTCCTTCTAAAAAGAGGAGATTAGGACAAGGACGTACACAGTGGGTAAAGGCCATGTGACAGCACAGTCAGAGACTGGAGGATGCGTCTACAGGCCTAGGGCTTGCAGAGGTTGCCATGACGGCACCTGCACCAGGAGGGAGACCTGGAATAGACTCTCCCGTGGAACCTTCAGAAGGGATCACCTACTGACACCTGGATCTGGGGCTGCTCCAGAGCCATGAGACACTGGATATCAGTTGTTGATGCCACACAATGTGTGCTTCTTTGTTATGGCAGCCCCAGCAGACAAATACACTGGACACCCAGAGAGTCAAAACCGTGACCAACATAATCCACACCCATCAGGCGCTTATGGTGAATTTAGTGAGCGATCCCCCTGAAACACTGAGCAACTACAGGTGCATCCTTGAGGGAGGGCCCTAGAGTAATTCAAACTGTAAATACTATCAGAAATCAGAGGACCAAGAGAAACAGAGACCGAAACCTCCAAAAAGTCCCACAGCTTAGAGTGAAAGAAAGAGGAAGGGTGCCAATGAATCTAGAGGAAGAACCCAAAGCCCGTAGCTTGGGGGATGGATGCTGGAAACAAAAGTCAAGGGACTTCCCTGGTGATGCAATGGATAAGACTTCACCTTTCAATGCAGGAGGTGTGGGATCCATGCCTGGCTGGGAAGTTAAGATTACACATGCATTGTGGCCAAAAAACCAAAACAGAAGCAATATTGTAAGAAATTCAAAAAAGACTTTAAAAATGGTCTGCATCCAAAAAAATAAAAATCTTAAGAAAAGAAAGACCAAAAGCCAAGACCCCATCTCTTTTCTGACTAATAATGTCCTGTGTTCTCACTGGCCATCCAAAGACACAGCCTGGTGGAAATGACCCCCTGGTAAGTGAGAGTGTCAGGTGGTGTCAGAGAGGAGAAGGTCATCACCAGGCTCAAAATTTCCAGGAGGGTGTGTGTTTCTTTACATACCATTTCAAGCAACAACAGAAAAACAAAACTGCAAAATGTAATTTTGCTACTTCCATAGAGCTCTATAATTGCTGTTAAAAGTCAACACACAGGACATGCCTATGGCAAGGTCCTTATTGCCCAGGAATGACTTTATCATTTAAAATCGTTAAAGAAAAATTGGATTTTATACTTAAAGATGGAAATATTTCTTGCCGTTTGTAGAGCTTATGAAACTCAACTTCATTTTCAATGTTCAATTACTAGTGAAAGTGAAAAGAAACTTTATTTAATAATTGACTTGGGTTGCCTTTAAATATAGCTTTGGCCTGTTTTATGAATTTTTTCTTTAATTTTCTATTAGTAGGCATAACTGCGTGCTCATATTTGTTATGACATATCGTAATTGTACCTTCTTTTCAACAGCTCATGAAAACTCTACTTTTATGGTGCAGAATAAAACCCCATCATAATTTTACTTTTCTCTGAGGAAATTCCTGAAATATAAGTTTAAATATTAGAGACAATGAGACAGAGGCAATCGCTTAAAACCACAATGGAAATTTGACTCATTCTGGAACTTCAAAATTGCAAAGTGCTACTAAAAATAATTAGTCATCCCTACTGCCTGGCAAGATTTCTTCTTGGATATCCTATACTTGTGAAATGCACTGCAAGTAACTCACCCTTCTTTCAACCCTTGGTTTGCTGCGAGCTATTGATCCCTGTGTTGACATTAACCACCTCCCAATCCTTTCTTACACATCTCTCCCTGCACCAATCAGAACAGAGGAGGTTTATCTAGGCCATGTGTGCTTATTAAGGATATCACTCATTGAATTAAAAATTAAAAGTGAGTAATTCTATGATGTGATTGCAGTAATTAAAGTACAAAAGGAAAGTTTGATGTCACATTTAAAAATGAGCCTTAGAGTAATTGGATAGAGGACTGATAAAAGAACAATGCGCTTACTTTGCATGTAGAGCTCTTCAAATTAATTAAAGCCAATGTACAGCTGTCTGTCTGAGACATCTTGTACTGTCTAGAAGGCCAACAACAAATTATTATTGTTTTTCCCCAATACATTGGTCACCATTTTGGTAATACCCACTCAGCCTCTCAAAACTTGTCTGCAGCTTATTAGAAATACAGGTTAGATACAAATGAAGGACAGACACCATTTCTCATGCATACTGTGCTACTGTTCACCATTTGTCTCAGGAAAAAGTGACATTTTTTTTCAGCTTCATTGAAATATAACTGACAAATAAAAATTATGTGTATTTAAGGCACATGGCATGATGGTATGATTTACGTACAAGCTATGAAATGATTGTATTTATTTTATCCTGAAAAAATAAGTAACCCATATGCATAAAGGAATATTGGGAAATACAGTATTGTATTACTATAATATTATTGTAATAATATTATAATATTTTTAATTGTAATATTGGAAAACACAATATTAGAAAATACAGAACAGCAGGCCAGAAAAAATAATCAAATATACCCACTGCCCTTTTTTCTGGGAAGAGGTTGTCAATATACTGTGTACATACACACTATTGTATGTGACTTCTTTTACTTATATATCCAAGGCCTTTTCTGTGTTTTGGAAGAACCTTGAAAAATATAATATTGAATGAGTGTGCAACGCTCTATTAAGTGGTTATACCAGCACTTAACTAACAATTGCATTTTTATATTGCTTTTTCCAGTTCTTTAAACCATAAAGAACAAAGCAGGGGTAACACTGCTTTGCCATCATTCCCCCCTCGACCCCCCAAATCCATAGATTGAAGTCCTAACCAATATTGTGTCTATATTTGGAGTAAGGAAGTAATTTAGATAAAAAATGACAGAATTTTTTAAAAAAAACCATTTTTCTACAGTTATAAAAAGATGCCAGGATATATGGGAGTGCTTGAACATGAACTTAAATTCTCATAAGACTTGGAGAACAACACTTTAGGAGTAAACACAGCTCTCAGCTCCAAAGGGATGGCTATGTCTGTCTCTGTCTCACCTTTCATGGTGGTGGCAAACCCATGAGATAATGAAATCTCAGGACACCCTGTGAGTCCTGGGTTTTTCTAGGTAAAAACAGATTGTGCACCTTTCACCTGCTTTTAACGGCTGAGCTTCAGCTTCCTTCCCTTCTTGAAGTTGCTTCCCTCGTTTCATGGTCTTTGAGTTACAACATCATTACCTTTTCAGTGAGATCAGGTCAGCCTCTCACCTTTGTAACTGGGCAGACTCATGGAATCACTCCCAGGAAGTTGGCACCATTCTGCCTTTTGCTGTATTTAGGACATTATATTGTTTTACTTTATATTCAATTGCTTCTATAAAGGTACACACACACAGTGTGTATGTATTTCCTGGTCACCTGGCTGTCTAGCTGATATCCGGGGAACTGCAAAGGTGAGTAAGACATAATCATTTCCTCCTAGTGGGACATGATATAGGCGGGGAATGAGCTACAAGTCAACCAAGAATAATGTGCATTCCAATGCATGGTTTCAAACAGTCATATGTTTAGAAAAAAGTAATTTTCTTTTACTAGCCCAACTGAAAACTGTATTTGGTAAATACTATGTGCAGGTCTTTAAGAAAATTATTTTAGAATCTCCAAGTGTAATAAATTAAACATGCTTTCTGTAATTTCTTTTCTTTTTAACATTTTTAGGAAAAGTAACTTGGTCTATAAAATGCTACCAAAGTGAAGTTGAATCAAAAACAGTTTTTAGTGAATTTTCTTATGAAGTATAAATAGGTTACAGAAAACAAAATTAAAAACATAACGTTACGATTTTGTCAGTTAATATGAGAGAAACTAACGGATTGTGGAGGTCAAGCTTTTGAAAACTTCCAGAAGTCCTACCAGAAGACAAAAATAGATAGAACTATGTTTCTTTTTCAAAGAAATATAATTCCTCCTCCCTCCACCTCCTCATTCTCTATTCTTTTTAGAATTTTTACGTTAAGTTTACATAGTTCTCTTTTCAGTGTCATTATTTACAACACTGTCACTGTTTCCATAGTTATGCAGAACGTCTGTTTCCATAGCAACACTCTTGGTTTCCTAAACAAATAGTATCACAGTGTTAATCTTGTTTCACTGTTATTGTGCTATGTTATTAGATACAAAACTCAAAAAATAATTTAAGGAGGGTTTGAAGCTAGGTGGGTTGGTTTTATTGTTTAGTGCTTTTAATATGAAATTTCAATTTCATATTAAAATACATATCAGTTTGAAAAATAGTGGGAATTTTGCATTGCAAACATGATACCAATTTTATTCACTGGTTATAAAACACTATAATTTAATAAAAGAGTGTTTCAATATGTGAACAATATACAAGGAGAAGTTTACCCATCTTCAGATTAAAATGACTGTTTTTCAGTTGGCCTGGATAATTCAGCTTCCCTAAATCTCTAAAGTCATTTATAAGTCACCCACAGCAATATTTCCTTTTGCCATTTTTCATTTTAAGTAATTTCTACCCATTTTTGCCTTTTTATTTTACAGCCCCACAGGAACAACTACAAAGCAGACTTCAAGGGAAATTTATGGCTACTGTTTTCTTTGATTGAAACCAAAGAGAAAAGTTAGTAAGTTTCGGATCTTTGCTTTTAAACTGGTTCATCATTACCCTTAACTTCTTCTCTAAGAAGCAAGTCATTTGGACTCTTTCAGAAATGGAACTGTGGCCTCCCCCCAGCTTATCCAGTTTGCTTGAGTTGGGTGAATTATGTCTGCCTCCTCCGGGAGGGCCTCAGGGCACTTGGAGGAGAAGGTGGCCACCTGCAGGATGGAGGAAAGGGGAAGATTGCTCTTATTTACCCAAAGTGAGGGAGCTGTATTAACAGTCCCGAAACACTGCCATGTCCTATTAGATGTTTGTAAAAGGCCGCTGGGCTGTGCACGTCCGCATCTTAGTGCTCTGAGCTCTGCCTCATTTAACAGGGTGTTTCAGAGGCCTACTCTTCACTCTCCTTTTGAATATGTCTTCCTTGAAGAACAGATTTAAATGAGTTCCCATCTCAATCTAAAAATATATTTTTTTAATTGGAGTAGAGTTGTTTTACAGTATTGTGTTAGTTTCTGCTGTACGAGAAAGGGAATCAGCTCTAAGTATACCTGTACCCCTCCTTCTGGAGCCTCCCTCCCACTCTCACCCCACCCCACCCCTCCAGGTCATCACCGAGCCCTGAGCTGGGCTCCCTGAACCAGCAGCTTCCCACTAGCTGTCTGTTTTACACGTGGCAGGGTACCTACATCTAAATGTAAGTCCAGATACTATAAAATATTTAGAGGAAAACAGGGGAAGAACGGTCTTTGACATGAATCACAGCAAGATCTTTTTTGACCCTCCTCCTAGAAAAATGAAAGTAAAAACAAAAATAAACAAATGGGACCTAATTAAGCCATCTCAATTTTAGCAGGAAGGGCCCTGAGATAGGGGTATAATCTAGTCATTTGCAAAGTTGAGTTGGTTTGCTCCCTTGTGGGGAAAGGAGTCCCTAATGATAGGGGAGTATTAGTCGATTCAGTCCTGTCCGACTCTCTATGACCCCATGGGCTGTAGCCCTCCAGGTTTCTCTGTCCTTGGGATTCTCCAGACAAGAATACCGGAGTGGGTTGCCATTCCCTTCTCCAGAGGATCTTCCCGACCCAGGGAATGAACACAGTTCTCCGGCATTGCAGGCAGATTCTTTACCATCTGAGCCACCTGGAAAGCCCCTAATAATGACAGAAGCTGGTGTCAAACTTGGGATTCACTGCACCCTGGGTGGAGAGCTGGGGGCAGCCAGACTCTGAGCCAGTCCAACTCAGCTCCGACATCCAAGCTGTGGGATTTGAAGCTTGTGATTTCAGCTCATCTGAGCCTCTGTTACCTCATCTATAAAATCAGGAAAGTAATACCCAGTGTGCAGAATTGTTGGGAGGTTGGAGATACAAACAAGGAACATGGTGACTAACTAAGCTAAGAGGTGGTCATTGTGATTTATCGACATTTACTCCTTTTTTTTTTGATAATTTGGAGTTTGGGGTCAGAAAGAGCCCGATTCCCCTGCAGTGCTGTGAGGAGATGTGTCTGTGGACATTCTGCCCTGATCAAGCCTCTTCAGGTTTCACTGGGCTGGCTCCTGCCCACTCGCAGCAGGCAGCCTTAACTCTTCGATCCAGGGGAGGTTGGCATTCGGACTTCCCAAAGATGCCTCGTCATGTGGGTTCCCTCCACAGACAGCAGCCCTGTGACGTGGAAAGCCCCTGAGAAGGGGTCCTTTCCTCCTTGCCACCCTTGAAGTGTAGTTTCACCAGTGTCTCTCAGCCTCTCGTGTACAAACAATTACCCAGGACCTTGCTGAGATGTGAATTTGGGTTCACAGGTCTGTGTGGGGACTGCGTTTCTGTGTGGTTGACAAATTCTTGGGTAATGCCAAAGACTCTGGTCCAGGGACCACATTTTAATGAGAAGAACCTACACTCCCCAAATCAGAGTTTTTCTCAGATTTTTTAAGACTCCAATTAGGGACCAGTTCTTGTAACAGTGGGTACCCAAACTACCTTGGTGTATTTGGGGTTCTTTTTCTAGTACAAATCCAGACCACCCAGTTTCGTTGAACTTGGCCTCCTTGTGGGTTTGATCCCTGGGTCAGGAAGATCCCCTGAAGGAATGCGTGGCGACCCACTCCAATATTCTTGCTTGGAGAATCCCATGGACAGAGGACCCTGTCAGGCTACAGTCTGTAGAGTCACAAAGAGTCTGACATGACTGAAGTGACGTAGCACACACATAGCACATGACTTCTTTGTGAGATGGAGAAACTGGGCTGGCTGAAATCTCTTGGGTCCATCTCAAAGATCAAATGTGATACTCCTCCTCCTTCTGGATGCAGGACAAATCCAGATAGATGCAGAAGTGCATATATTCAAATCAGCTGATTTGACTCTCCTATGGTTGAGGGCAGGAGGAGAAGGGGGAGACAGAGGATGAGATGGTAGGATGGCATCCCTGACTCAATGGACATGAGTTTGAGCAAACTCTGAGGGATAGTGAAGGATAGGGAAGCCTGGTGTGCTGCAGTCCACATGTTAGCAAATAGTCGGACACAACTTAGTGATTGAACAGCAATGAGTCCAAGGATCAAAATGATTCAGTTGTATTAAGAAAAAATGTATAACAGAATTTGAATTGATCATCAGAAATAGTTTAATATGCCAACTAGAAGTTCAGTGACTCATCTACAAACAAGTAGAGATTCTGGCTGTATATCATAATTATAAAAAAATACAATATACTGAATGTTTTGGAATTCTCTAAGAAAGTATGTTTTTATTTCCTTTTGTTATGTACACAGTATAACAAATCCAGTTAGATTTTCTCAGATGAAATTGTGCTTGATTTTCTGTTCTTTTATACTTCTGAAACTTGTTGGTGTTTTCATTGTTATATCTTAATAGCAGTGTTTCTTTCATGGACACCTTTGAATGGCAACTTGCTCTTTTCTGAGATATTTTAAAAGGAAATTGTATTTGAATGGTCTAAAAAAGAATCCAGGGCTTTCTAGGGGATTTTGTCACTTGGGTTTTCTTCACTTATGATCTCATTGTCAAGGATTGTATAAGCTTCCAAGAACCAAAGGGATAGTGGTTTCTAATAAGTCCATGCAAACACAGGATTATTTTCATTTTTATTTGTATTAAATACATTCATTCCTCTGGCACCAACCTCATAGTGAATCACGATGAGTCTACTTGCCCTCCTCAAAAATAGCAATAGAATTATAACAAAATCAGTTTTATTTGAAAAAATGAGGCATCCAGTTTTCCAATAGTGCTTGCTTGCCATGGAAAATTCCTCGACTGTCAATGATAAACTAGTATGTAAAAAATATGGGTGACAATGGTGTTGTCCTCACATGATGAGGGGCACATGAGCTCACAACAGTTAAGGTCTTAGAGTAGCACGAGGCAAATGACAATGTTCAACAAGTATTACGAAGTGATATTACTCCTGACTCTTATCTCATTGTATCTAACAAACAACACTGAAGTAGCATAAGCTCTCCCCTGCTTCTTATGCACATGTTGTTATATGTATGTATAGATATGCCCTTTTATAAATGATGGTTTCAAATGCTGTAGAAAAATCTGACAGTCCAGTAGAAGGAAATAATGCAAATATTCTCTGAAAGTCTATAATGACTATAATTGAATATTCAGTTCAAATAGATAACCATTCTCTTGATTCTCTGTTAATAGAATGTTAATATAGATGATCATGATTTAGAAAGAAACTGTTTTCCAAATAAAAAAGGGTGGAGAAAAAAAAAAACACAAAAAAAACCCCCGAGCCTATAAAACACAGATGTAAGCAAGTGTATTTATTTCCATGAGAAATGCATGTATGTTTTCTACTGGCTGTATTAATTAAAATTAAACATTCATCTTGTCCTATTGCATCTCTGGTTGTGCTATAAAGCATTAACACCGAACTGGTGTTTGCACAGAACAAAGAAAAAGGAAAACTTAGCAAATAGTTGGTTTAGTGAAGTCAATCCACCATTCCAAATCACCAGGGCCACACATTCAGTCAGATGGATAGTTCTCACTTGCTGAGACCATGAAGCCATTCTTCTATGTCTGTTTTGTGCAGACGTGAAGGGGGATGCACAAGCAAAGTCTCCATGATTTTATGGGGCTTTTCTGCAGTTTATTTATGCAAGGTGAAGCTCAGAAGATTTTCCCTGTACATGAACACTTCAAGATAGCTATCAGGTTTGCCAAAGATGCCCCAAAGCCGTGACAGAATAACCTGGGGGTGAATCACCAACAACAGACAGGAGTAGCATCTGAGGAATATGATTAAGCCCCAGGACTCAGTGGTTGGATACCTCAAGTTCAGACTCCAGCTCAACACTTGCTGAACTGCTTGACTTTGAGAGACTCACTCACCTCTCTGTCCCTCACATGACATGGTCATCTTGGCAACAGTGATCTCGGTACCTGATGGCAAAGGCCATTGTGGGAAGGAGCAAGATCACGTACACGGGGTGACTAGAGCACTGCTTCTGCCCAAGTGACCAAGAAGTGCTAGCAGTGATTAGAAAGTGAACAACGTTTCCTGTAACTGCCATGGAGACCATTAGTCATAGAGTGCGCTTTTATGAGTTGCTTCCCATTTGGCTAAAGCTGATTATAAACTTCTTCCACTTTGATTCTGTAATCTTGGCAAACATGTAGCTGCTCTGAAGCTTCTAAGTCAGGTTAAGATCTCAGATTCTAGAGGGAGCTTAGTAATGGGTCAGGTATTAGAAGAAAGGGCTGGGAAGACCAGGACTTTTAGATAATTTCAGATGTTTTGGGTATGAAATAATTCTTAAACTCTGGGTTTAACTTTGTCAACATAACCTCAGTAGTAACCATGTGACCAAATGTTTTCATCAGCTCTGGCTGCCATAACAGAATACCCGCAGAATAAACAACAAGTTTATTTTCTTATAGTTCTGGAGGCTGCAAGTCCAAGGTGAAGGTGCTGGCAGATTCAGTATCTGGTGAGGACCCCCTTCCTGCCTTGTGGATGGCTCTTTTCTCGCTGTGTACTCAAGTGACCTTTGATTTAGGATTGTCTTGCAAAGAAATCGCTGATATTTCTTAATAAAAATTGCTGAAATTTTGAAATGTGGTTCTAATAGGCATGCAAATCAGATAAAGATCAGAGGCTATTCTAATTCGGGGAAATTCCAGATGCAGGCACACGTCAGAGATATTTTGGGCTCGGTGCCAGACCGCTGAAATAAAGCGAATATTACAATAAAGCAAGCCACAAGGTTTTCTGGTTTCCAAGTGCATGTAAAACTCAGGGTTATACTATACTATCATTGATTAAGTGTGCAACAGCATTATGTCTGGAAAACAATGTACGTACCTTAAAAGTACTCTTGCTAAAGATGCCAAAACAATTGCAATAATGACATCAGAGGTCACTGATCACAAATCACCATAGCAAATATAATAATTATGAAAAACATGGCAATAGTGCGAGAATTACCAAAATGTGACCCAGAGACAGGAAGTAAGCAATTACTGTTGGAAAAAATGGCACCAATAGTCTTGCTCCACACTGGGTTGCCGCATACCTCCAGTTTGCAAAATACTTGGGTCTACAAAGCATAGTAAGGGAAGTGCACTAAACAAGGTGTGCCTGGCTTGGATAGTACACACTGGGAGGGGTTGGAGTGCTGTTTCTGACTGTTGATAAAGTCGTTTCCAAGGCTGCTTGGAGCAGAAGCTATGGGATCACATGGCACTGTTGATGAGAGTGACTGAGAGTTTATGACCATGACAAAGGTAAGTTGCCCAGCTTTAGGGAGGAGACAGATAAGGGAGTAACAGGAACATACAGCAGGTGCAGTGCAGTCTCTGCCTGCGAGACGACACTGGTTCTGACTTAAAGGAAAGGATGCAGGAGAAGCCAAAGAGGAAGGAGAGGAGGCTGAAGTCCTGGGGAAGCTGTTCAAAGATGGCAAAGGGAGATCTCTGTTTAGGAAACCAGAGTGACATTGAGGGAAGAGACTGAAGAATGATGCTTAAAGATGTGTAGATATAGATCTACGAAGTTACAGTAGTGAGTGAGTAAAAAAAATAAATCACAAGGAAACCCCAGTCCCCGGCAGTTATAGTCTTCACCACTCACAACAGGTCACACGTGAGCTAGGTTTTCACACTAAGAACCTTGAGTGCCCTGGACTTATAAACATGATAATTTTATATGGAGGACCAAAAAAATCTTAAAAAGAAGGATTTCTTACCCTCTAGCTCTCTTTCAAGTTCACATGGCCCAACTTACCAAGTCATCTTTATTAAAGAGTATTTGCAGTTGAACGTTCTGGATCATTCAGAGTCTTTTATTTCTAGATCATACAACTGCTTTAGGTTTTTAAGGGTCAGGAAACACTTCCTCCCACCCACGCAGACTCAGCGCACACTGGCCCTGTGACTCTGAAGGACGCACCCTTGCTCCCAGGCTGGGCCCTGTTGCCCTCAGCAGTGGTGCGTTTCATTCTCCGGAAGATCTCTGAGGACTTGCAGCGGGGTCAAGTGCAGCTCAGGGTCAGTCCTTACTCCTGACTCTTCCCATCCTCACTCACTTCTATCCTGTCTTAGAGTGTGAACGTTGACATGGGTGGTCCCTTGCTCTCTGCTTCTTATTCTGGGTCTCATCTTGTCCACGCTGCCTGAGTCGGCGTGCTTAGGCACTCATGTCCTGTGTTTCCTCCAGGTCTGACTCCTGGGGCAGAAAACCCCCTTTTGAGGTGGTCATCCCCCCCACCCTGCCCGCTAAGACCAGAGTCTTTCTTCCCCACCCAGGCTGACACTGAACTTGACTTGTTTAGCATGAAGCTTCCTTGGTGAAGAGGAAGTGTGAGTTCAGCTTTGTTGCAGGAGAGAAGGAAGAGACGGTGACCTGGTGGGAGACTCTGTTTCTGGGTCACTTGGATGCCTTGCCCACCCCCTAAGCAATGGTCCTGTTTTTGGTAGCTTGTGTTAGAAATGGATGCTTAACTCTTTTCCTTCTTTTAAACATCAACTCTTTGAGGAGAAGTCTTCTTCAGTTCAGTTCAGTCACTCAGTCATGTCCAACTTTCTGTGATCCCATGGACTGTAGCACACCAGGCCTCCCTGTCCATCACCAACTCCTGGAGTTTACTCAAACTCACATCCATTGAGTTGGTGATGCCATCCAACCATCTCATCCTCTGTCGTCCCCTTCTCCTCTTCCTGCCTTCAATCTTTCCCAGCATCAGGGTCTTTTCAAAAGAGTCAGTCTTCTTAGGCATTCTTTTTTTTCCTGAAATACTTGCTGATTGTTTTCTTTCATATGTATCTCACATAATTCAGTGTTGGTATTTTTCTAAAATGATAGTTCCTCTCACTTTGCAGAAGTTTCCAGGAGCTCAGATTCCTTTCTCTTATAGATCAGGTAGGTGACCCTTTAAGCTGCCTCTCCTCTGGAGATAGGGGGTCACATTCTGAACTGCTTTGAAAGCAAGAAACTTCCAGAGACCTAGAAAAAGGATTTGACCTCATGGTCTAAATGGTTAATGGGAGTTCTTTGCAGGTGAGGTAATGTTTTGGTTAAGGTGAAAGGAACTGGACTCTATTATCCTAACTAACTTGCTATAGAGGTTTTAACCAAACCGAACTTCCTGTCAGCTAAAGAGGAACCCTGATGACAGCCAGAGATACTGATCTGGCCTTCAAGGAGGCATTTTCTGACCTTCCTAGGGATTTCTCCCCTCCCCAGGATTCACAAGGACTTTCCCTTGTCTCTCTAGCTCTCGCTGTGGGTTTTCCTATCACTAATTGTGCTCACAGGAGGGTAATGATTTCTGAAGTCCATTCTTTCAAACCCCTGCTTTCAGATCAGCATCTGGGAGGGCCGATAAACAAGTCAGTTATTATCGACGTCACAGGGAACTCCAAACCACAGGTGAACTGTGCAGAGCTTGAAACCCAAGACAGAGACAGAGTGATTAAAACTGTAAGCAGGGCTAGCTCCTGCTAGTGACAATCTCCAGCAGCAAATGAGGAATAAGAAGAGATGATGAAAGTTCCTCCTTGAGCCACATAACTAGGGGAATAAAAGGACTTGTTTTCTACCAGTTAATGAACAATGATCCCTGCAGGGGTGGGAGGTATAAGCCTCACTCTGCTTATCAGTAAATTCCAGGAAGCCTTACCTTATGCTGGGGGTGTCCTGTCCCGTCCTGGTTCAGCCAGACAGACTGTGAAACACTTTTTATTTTTTTGATTAATCAAAACTTTTGCATTTTCTATTGGAGAATGGTTGATTTACTAAAACACCTTCTGTGGCAGGCTGAGTAGCCCTTCTTACCAGACAATTATCACATGCTCAAAGGGATTTGCTGGGTTTCTCATGTAATTCTATCCATCATCTCAAGTTTCTAGATGTTTCCCGAGGCTCCTGTGAATTCAAGGCAGGTGGGGAAAGTAGTAGATTAGAAGAAATCCACCCTTCTCTCCAAGGAGAATTCCCTGGCAACATTGAGCCTCGCATGCCATTGTCTGGGGTCAGTGATGACCACGGCAGTTCAACGTTGGGAGGGATGAATCTCAGAGCCCGAAGTGGCCCCAGACACAAATGTGTGTTCCCAGACTTCCCTGCCTGCCTCCCTTCCACTCCTGACACTACGAATTCATTTATTCCTCAAATATGCTTGGTCAACGGTCACTACGGAGATGAAAATCATCATTCTTGACTTCAGGGCCAGTTCTCAAGGAATTAAGCAGCTACTTACTTACACACTACTTATACAGGATTCCCTGGTGGCTTAGATGGTAAAGCATCTACCTGCAACGCGGGAGACCTGGGTTCGATTCTTGGGTTGGAAAGATTCCCTGGAGAAGGAAATTGCAGCCCACTCCAGTACTCTTGCCTAGAAAATTCCATGGGTGGAGGAATCTGGTGGGCTACAGTCCATGGGGTTGCAAAGAGTCGGACAGACTGAGTGAATTCACTTTTTTTTTTAAACACACTGTCAGAGGGCTGGGCTGGGGTGCGGGTGGGGGTGGAGGGAAGGGTCCCTATGGGCAAGGTCATGACCAGCCAGCTTTGGTCTCTGTGTTTATCCTCGTACCTGGCACATTGACCTCTGTAAATAAGTGTGAATTAAATAAGGAATGAATTGGAGCTCCAAGATAGGGTGCTGTTTTCCAGGGTGCTTATCTCCTGGCGTGGTTCCCCTTATTCAGGACCAAAGGTGCTAAAATCTGCTTAGTGTGCACCAGGATGTTGACAGACTAAGCTGCGTGGCCGTCAGCAATTTTATGGATGGACCAAGGGATGGAGTCTAGGAAAATGTGGGTGGAAAAAATGTTGTTGCTGTTTAGTCACTAAGTCATGTTGGAGTCTTTTGTGACCTCACGGACGGTAGCCCACCAGGCTCCTCTGTCCATGGAATTTTCTAGGCAAGAATACAGGAGTGAGTTGCCATTTCCTTCTTTTGGGCTTCCCTGGTGGCTTAAATGGTAAAGAGTCTGCCTGCAGCGTAAGAGACCCAGGTTCAATCCCTGTGTCAGGAAAATCCCCTGGAGAAGGAAATGGCAACCCACTCCAGTATTCTTGCCTGGAAAATTCCATGGACAGAGGAGCCTGGCAGGCTACAGTCCATGGGGTCATAAAGAGTTGGACACGACTGAATGACTTAACTTTCTCTAGGGTGTCTTCCTGACCCAGGGATCAAACCCAACTCTCCTGCATTGGCATATGGGTTCTTTACCACTGAGCCACCAGGTGAGCCCAGAAAAAATATAGATAGACATAAATTTCCCTTGATTATATGTTTCCATTAATTCTTGCAGTTGTCAATCTATATTTGGGATCTGAAATACTGAGTTTCTTTTGATATCAGAAGTAAATATCCAAATCTCCTTTGTACTGCCGTATCCATAGCTGATCTCATTAAAACTGTAAGAAGAAAATTACCACCTGACTAGTAATCTCAGTTGACTCGATTATTTTTTTTTCATTTATTTTTATTAGTTGGAGGCTAATTACTTCATAATATTATAGTGGTTTTTGCCATACATTGACATGAATCAGCCATGGATTTACATGTGTTCCCCATCCTGATCCCCCCTCCCACCTCCCTCCCCATCCCATCCCTCTGGGTCTTCCCAGTGCACCAGCCCTGAGCACTTGTCTCATGCATCCAACCTGAGCTGGCGATCTGTTTCACACTTGATAGTATACTTGTTTCAATGTTATTTTCTCAGAACATCCCACCCTCGCCTTCTCCCACAGAGTCCAAAAGTCTGTTCTCTATGACTCAATTATTTTGATTCAATCAAAATGGATTTTTTTTTTAGCATGATACCAAAAACAACCCCCCAAAGTCTGCAACTAATAAAAAGTTGGAAATAACAGCTCTGATTATTGAACCACCTCTCCCACCCCTAGTGCACACGTAACACACACACCCTGGTCCTATGTTCAATTTTAAAATAAAATAGGTTGATACATTCAATTTTATGTAACTTTATTCAGCTCTGGATTGCTGGCTTGTTTGGTTGCTACTAGTGTGATAAATACAGATCTTCATCAAACAGGCTAATAAGGATCTCTTTCCAGGATCAAAGGGTGTCTTTATTTCTGTTTTTTTTTTTTTTTCCTCTAACATGGTGGTGTTTATTTTTGTACACATTATCATTTTTGTTTGTTATCTAAGATGCCATAAAAATGTTGCTGTCAAAACTTGGTCACCGAGTCAAGCCCATCTGGCCTCAAGTTTCTCTGGGGAAGTCCGTTCTGAAGGGCCAGGCACCCTTTTCTGGGCTCAGCTGGTCTGGCTGGGGTGAGCTTCACCTCCCCACCACCTGGTCCCTGTGGGGCATTTGCCAGTCCCATCTCTCCTGTTATCAAGGGCTCTCTGGCCAGAGGGAGCTCTTTTGGTTTCATCTCCAGGCACCTACGCTAACCTCAGGAATGTTTGGCAGTAGGAAAAAAAAATAAGAAAGGTCAGTTTCACTTGAGGACGGATGATCTCAGCGGACTTTTCCCACCAATGACTTGGCCATGACTCAGCTTTCACTTTTCTTGTGACTGCCATCTTTGATAACATCCACATTCCACATTAGCCAAATAGTGAGTTTTAGTGAATCTTGACATCAACAAGGATGTACCCAACCTCCAAACCCTCCTCTCTCTGTCTCTTGTATTTTCCCTTCAAAGAGTAAAACAGGCAAGAAGATCCAAAGTTACCTGCTTCCTGGGTCCCAGTTTGACCTATATGGTGCTTTTAAGGGGAAGAATATGAGAGAACATTTAAAAAAATGGGAAGATTTTATTTACACACCTAGATTCCCATCTTCTGCTGGAGGTGATGGAAACCTGGCCAGGTAAGAGTCACTTTTCTGTGATACCACAACTGGCCAGAGATGAGTATCACTGCCTTTTTCTAGAGGAACCACTCTCCTCATTTTTCCACAGTCTCTAGCATTCCCTACAGTTTCCCCCCACTGAGGGGGAAAACACTGAGGTCAAGTGCTTCCCGCCCATCATTATTGTACTTCCTGCCCATCATTATTGTACTTCCTTGTCTATTTTTCTTACTCTTAGCCTCCATTTCTCTCTATGTGACTTTTTTGGACCGTGGAGGCATTTGGATTTACACTCTCTACTCCACATAGTATTTTATTCCTGACATCTTAACTTTGGGGGTTTTGGTAATAATCCAATCAGACTGCTAATAGTGCATTATTAGTAGCATATTATGATAGTGTAATGTTACATTCACTTCCCTTACCCCATCATCATCATGTGGGATTCTTTCCGTCTTTCTAGCAGCAAGGTGGTGTTGCTTCTCACCTGACAGAAGCTTGTGTTCACAGATGTCATTCTGTCAAGGTCTGACAAGGGACAGACATTTTGTCATTCTGTCAAGGCCAGCTCTAAAAGGGACATTTTATCATCTATCCTTTATAGATGGGAGACTCAAGGGGGCTAAGAGAGCTTACCCAAGACCACAAGTTTGGTCAGTGGTGGAGCCCAGAGGCAGTCCAAGTCTCCTGACCTTCCAATTTATAGCACCCCTTTCCTGGTCTTGCAAAAAATTTTTTTTTCTTTTTTAAAGAGGTTTAAAAAAAATTTTTTTTAATGTGGACCATTTTCTAAATTTTCATTGAATTTGTCACAGTATTGTTTCCATTTTATGTTTCAGTTTTTTGGCCATGAGGCACATGGGATCCAAGCTCCCACACCAGGGTTTGAACCCACATCCCCTGCAGTGGAAGGCAAAGTCTTAATCACTGGACCACCAGGTAAGTCCTGTCTCTCAAGGTTTTTATTTTTTATTTTTTTTGGTTTCTTTTTTTCTCTCAAGGTTTTTAAAAGGATTTTTCTAGAATAGGATATATACATATATGGATGAGTTTCAAATATTAAAAAAAAAAAAACATTTTGCAAAAGTCATTTACATTAAAGGAGAAAATTGATTTGTGTGCTCCCCTCCTCCCCAAGTGTGACTTGATTCATTTCAAGACAATGGTTTTGAGCAGAATCACAGACATAGGGTAGCTTCATCAGTGCTTACACATATCTTTCTGAAAACTGAATCCATACCCATCAAGTATCCTATAGAAGAGAACAGGTCATCCATCTGAACTCTCTTTTTGCCCTCTGTCTCAATTTTTCTAGGAGAAATAATGCTCTTGTGAGGGTCCTTTCTTGCCCTGAAAATATTGGAATTCATTCAGTCTTTTCTAATTGAGCTCTCAGCATCTGAAAGTATTTCCACCTCAGGGATCAACCCCTTATTTTGTCTGACTGTCTCCTTTAAGGAAGCTGAGAGCCCAGTGGGTAGCCTTTCCCTTCTCCAGGGTATCTTCCCATCCCAGGGATCAAATGTAGGTCTCTTGCATTGCTGTTGGATTCTTTACCAGCTGAGCCACAAGCTTATCATCCCTAAAAGTTCAGATTGCATAAGGAATGATCATAAAACAATTTGAAGTCATAGGGAAGACTGAGCTGTACGTCGTTTACACATACTAGATCTAGATTAAATGTGAAGATGTTCACTAGTGGTGACTGATTACAATGGCAGAGAATTAGACAAAAACAGTATTTCTGTTAAAAGAAAAAATGGTCTGTTGACTCTTGTTCACCATTGAAATTATTCTCAGAGTTGTCACTTAGGACAAAAAATTCTAAAAGGGAAATAAAAGTGATAGAGCTGGCTGCTGCCACTGACTTCTAAAGACGAGTGGACATGAAATGAAATGGCCTGGGACAGTAGCCAGGGGCTGCTTGTCAGTTGTTCTTCAACCCTCTCAGCACTAACCCCTCCATCTGCCCTGTGACCCACTTCATTGTGTGTTTTATCTCACTTCTTATCTCCATGTCATTCATTCTCTATCTTTCTCTCTGCTGTTTCCCCTAGTTTGGGGCCTAACTGAAGTAAGAAACAGTGAATGGCTTTGCTCACCCATCCCCCAGGTAGGAAGGTAGTCTAGTGGCCAAGTTGACAGTGAACTGCAATGACTCTCACAGATTAGGTATATCTGGCTCCAGAGTGGACCTGGGGCAAGTTACCCAATACACACGTATTTTAATGAACGCTAACTGAACGCAATCAGCCCTCCTCTAAGGCTCCCAGTTATTGTCTGCTTCTTCCCCATGCATGGCATTCTTCAATGACCTTTGTCTTACTTTGCTAGCACTAGTTCAGAAATCTTACTTTTGACCCCTTGACGAGCTGGCCCAGGACTCTTACCAGCCCCATCCCTGTCTGTCCCCTCCAGGCCTCAGGTCCACGTGACTTTGCTGCATTTGTTCTCCAGGCACTTACTCTGACTGAGTGCTGTCCATGTGGCCCTCCCTGCCAGCCTGGCTGGAGCCTGACTCCTCAAGGAGCCTGTCCCGCTTTGTTGCCATCTTCTGGAATCTAGTGCCTGACCCAGAGGAAGGCACAAAGGATGAAAAAATGGGTGAATCAGGGAACCAGTGAAGTATATGCGTGTCATGTGCCTTAAACCAGCAGTAACGCACCTTTAGAAAGTGTTGGAGGCAAGACACTTCCAAAACTGCTGAAAGGCTATGCAAAATCCTATTCTGATGACCGCGTGGCAGTTTGCTGGGTTAGCCATAGGTTTTAAAAGGTGTTGCGAGGGTATAGAATTTTAATAGAGAGCTTAGTGGCATCTCTCTAGCCTTCTTCATCTCTAGGCAGCAGAATCCATTGATGTAATTTAAATTTTCCTGTGTTTCGTGAGAGGCGACCTGTGTCCAGGTGGACTTTCCATGAAGCTGAAGAGGCTTCCGGCCCCATGTGAGCTCATGGGCATGTGTGTTGTGAACATTTCCAGGAGTGCAATATGCCATTTTAAGAGCCACTTGAGATGCCATTTGAGAACGTTTCAATCAAATTAGAAATCCCAGACTTCTGAATTTGAAGAGTACCTTTATTTAAAGGTTGGTCTTCCCAGGTGGCACTAGTGGTAAAGACCCTGCCTACCAATGCAGGAAATGCAAGAGACATGGGTTTTAATCCCTGGGTTGGGAAGATCCCTTGGGGGCACAGTAACCCCATCCAGTGTTCTTGCATGGAGAATCCCATGGGCAGAGGAGCCAGGTGGGCTACAGTCTACAGGGCCACAAAGATTCAGATACAACTGAGCACATCACAACACATTATTTAAAGGATATCTTTAAACTTATTTACAAAAAAACCGAGAGGGAAAATTCAGACAACAATCAACAGCATATGAACTAAGAACAATCAGTAACAAGCAGTAACGTTGGCAGAAATCATTCTCAAGTTGAGAAGTAAGATGTATAAAAATTTTTCGGGTCAGACTGAAAGCCATCATTCACTAAAAGGAAGAGGTAAGTTTCTAATAGAAGCAATGAGTATTGTGTACAATTAATTATTCTGTAAGAAAACATAAAATGCCCTGAAGTTTTTACAGACTATAGGTTAAAGATGTTGATAGAGGTTCCCCAGAATTTGACGAGAAATGTAAATTATTTACCTGACATTATCAATTAGGAGTTATGAAGCTGAAAAGAACTTTTCTAAGCTAAGGCTGATTAAAAAACAATAACAGCAACAACGACTTTTGATGACTCTTTCTAGAGAGAAGACAAGATTGTCTTCCTACTATCTCCAGAAAATTATATTGTAAAATTATTGCCATGGAGAGGCAATTAAAGAAGAGACAAGTAAAAAAAGAATCTGATAGAGTGATGTTAGAGTCATCAGGTCATTGATGAGTCAAACAATGAATTATTCTGGAATTTGTCAAATTTGTGGTGATCCTCAGCTTTGTAACATTTATAATCTGTTTTGATTTCTCTTTCCCAGTTGTTCTCTCACTCAGTCATGTCCGACTCTTTTCGACCCCATGGACTGCAGCATACCAGGCTCCTCTGTCCATCACTACCTCCCAGAGCTTGCTCAAACTTATGTCCATTGAATCGATGATGCCATCCAACTATCTCAACCTCTGTCATCCCCTTCTCCTCCTGCCCTCAGTGTTTCCCAACATCAGGGTCTTTTCCAATGAGTTGGTTCTTTACATCAGATGGTCAAAGTATTGAAGCATCAGTTTCAGTATCAGTCCTTCCAATGAATATTCAGGACTGATTTCCTTTAGGATTGACTGGTTTGATCTCCTTGTAGTCCAGGGGACTCTCAAGAGTCTTCTCCAGCACCACAATTTGAAAGCATCAGTTCTTCATCTCTCAGCTTTCTTTATGGTCCAACTCTCACATTCACTCCTGACTTCTGGAAAAACCATAACTTTGACTAGATAGACCTTTGTCAGAAAAGTAGGCTGACAAGGGTGAGGCTTCGCTGGTGGCTCAGGCAGTAAGAAATCTGCCTGCAATATGGGAGACCTGGGTTCCATCCGTGGTTCGGGAAGATACCCTGGAGAAGGGCATGGCAACCCACTCCAGTATTCTTGCCTGGAGAGTCCCACGGACAGAGGAGCCTGGGGGGCTACAGTCCAGGGGGTCTCACAGAGTCAGTCGAAGATGACTGAGAGACTAAATACTTCGACTTGACGGAAGGGTGGAAGCAGGTCCTGTGTTTGCTGGGGTGTGAGAGCAGGGCTGGCGGGCGCAGGTCCAAGGGGTGTAGAGAGATGGGGTGAGTAGCGGAGTAGAACAAGGTGGCTGAAGCCCAGGATGAGCATGTGGTTTCCGAGACAAGCATCCTGCAAGTCACCAGGGAGCCGAGGCTTGCCCAGTCCCCGAGAGTCAGTGTGAGGCTGCACGGATGCGCAGGTGGGAGCTGAGGTGGTTCACTGCGGTCCTCACCTCTCAATGCACTGGGGCCATCAGGAGGGGCGGCCCATGGCAGAGACAGACACGGAGGGACCACCAGGGAGAGGCTTGCAGTAGTAAGCTCCCCCAGCACTCTGCCCCGCCCTGAGGGAGAGTGGTTGGTGCCCGCATGTTGATATGAAAACGTTCCACTCTGGGGGGGTGGGTAGAAGCAGGGCATGGGGTGGGGTGGGCACCGGGAACGTGTGTGTGTCTGTCTAGGTTTGTCACAGCTTTTCTTCCAAGGAACTAGTGACTTTTAATTTCATGGCTACAGTCACTATCTGCAGTGATTTTGGAGCCCAAGAAAGTAAAATCTGTCACTTTCTCCCTATCTATCTGCCATGAAGTGATCCTGACTTTTATGTTTGCAGCTGTATTCTTGTCCACAACATGGAACTTGTAAACTTTCAGTAGAACCCTTTCTATTAATTTAGGGATCTGTGCATTGTACCACTGTCATAAGCTCAAGTGTATTCAACAAGCCCAACAAGCCCCTGGAGCCTTCCAGGAGGTTTCTTATTAGTGCTTTCGAAAGGCAGGGCTATTAGGTGTCTCCTGGTGGCTCAGTGGTAAAGAATCTGCTTGTAGTGCAGGAGACACAGGAGATGTGGGTTTGACCTGTGAGTCAGGAAGATCCTTGGAGGAGGGCACGGCAACCCACTCCAGTATTCTTGCCTGGAGAATCCCATGGACAGAGGAGCCTGGCGGGCTACAGTCCACAGGGTTGCAAAGAGTCACATGATTGAAATGTCTGAGCACACAGTAAGCATGGGGACAAGGGGGCACTCTGAGTCCTTTCTAAAAACACTTTTGATGGGAAGTCCCTTCTTTGCTTATTTTCCCTGATTCCTATCTTCTATTGTTCATAACAAAACAGAAGCAGAAACAAAGTCTTAAAAGACTAAACAATCGCATTGGTAGAGAGGCATTTGGACCTAGTCAGCAGTTAACTTCTGAGTACTTAAAGGGCAGGGCGTGGATTTCTGCTAGTTTAAAATAATTAGTAACCCATCTCCGCAAATATTTTTCTCCTGGATTTCTCAGCAGTGGATGAATGGGCTCCAGCCTCTGATTCAGCTTTTACTGATAACTTGAGCTTAGTAGACGATAACTACGCAAGGACAAACAGCAAAGTGGGGACCATCCTCTACGGTGTGGGGACAGGCGTGATTCAGTGACCACATATCTTGGAAGTGGACATTGTTAGGAGAGCTTTATAGCCTCAGAGCCTTCAGCTTTGGCCCAAATGGCCATCGTGGGATAATTTCCTCATAATAATGAGATGAATTCTCTTTGGCAAAAGCAGGAAAAAAAGAGGGAGAAAAGCAGCAACCGATAGAGAGATCTCTCTTCTCCTTTAGTATTTAAAGTCCTGTGAGGCACGTTCTTCAGGGAATGTGTGCTCCGTGAGGAGAGGTCAGGGATATGGCCAAGCACAGCTCGTTAGTGACGGGGGCGTGAGTCAAGTCATTTCAAACAACAGTTTAAAAACTCATCTCTTCGGGTGGTGAGGGAGGTGGGAGGGGGGACTGGGATGGGGAATACATGTAAATCCATGGCTAATTCATTTCAATGTATAACAAAAACTACTGTAATGATGTAAAGTAATTAGCCTCCAATTAATAAAAATTTAAAAAAAAATAAAAAAAATAAAAAAAATTAAAAAAGAAGAAGAAACAAACAACAAAAAAAAACTCATCTCTTGTAGATATTCTATGGCATCTTAGGCTTCCTGTCGACCCAACTGGTCCCTCAGATCATTTGATGCGTTGCAGTCTCAGTTTAAGAATTGCTCCCATATTTGCAGAATGATATCATTTACCCTCACATCTAGAGATCAAACAGGAGTTCCACAGTGACTTACGAAAACCAGAGCTGAAGGTAGATTACTCCAGATCCAGTCTGCCTTTCTCTCCACTTGTCTTAAAATCTATGTGGTCCAGAAAGCCAGTCTCCTAAGGAATGTGAGGTCATGCCCTCTGATGGTATAGTCTGAGTCCAGGACCAAAGAATCCGGCCAGAGCACAGGGACTGTAATTTTTTTTGGTTCAGATTGGTAATTAGTTAGTCTTTGAGAGTCAGTCTGATTTAAAATTGTAGTCTGATGTACCTTCATACAAGAGTGTGCATATTAACCTTTCACACGTTTAGAAATGATTTCTACATGGTTATAATAGCTTTGTAATTACGCTTTCCTTTACCTGGTTCTCTGGTCATTTCTTGGTTCATTGTTGACTTTGTCCATAAGAGGAATGTTTTTACAGAGAGTGGAGCCTGGAGTCGCTTCCACCATTGCAGTCATTTCTCCCGCCTGCCTTTTTGTCAACGACACATAAAACTGCAGAAGAAAAATTATGTTTCAATATATAGCTTTCATTATGCTTTTGATGTTTCTAATATTCCTTCCTAAATGCCGTAATTCCACACATGCCGCTTGTCACCTGGCCTATGTAAACACGGACTCGTTTGGACGTTATTGCACAATTCTATCAAAATGCCAAGCAGAGAAAAAATGGCATCCAATATTCACCCTGGGATATGAGCAAGGAACTTCGGTTTGATGTAGAAGCATTAATAATTTGATCACAGATGGGCATTTTTCAGCAGTGCATACAGATTGCCAGGAAAAGATCATTCTTCCCTTGTGGACGTGTTTACATCACACATCTTCCACTAGCTGGGGAAATCTTGCACAGACAGTGCTGGGTCCACAGTTTCTCAATGGAAGGAGAAAGAAACAACCCCATGTGAATGTGAGCCTGGGCATCTCTCAGGACCTCAAATAAGTTGTTTCAAATTCAGAACAATGTCACCCCGACCAGCTCAAAAGACAGGAGGATCACCCTGGGCATTTCTCTGAATCGCTTTCTCTCCCAACTCAGTTCTAGGGTCATCTGTGAACATTGTGGTGTGTATGAGTTTGACACTGAATGCATGTGTTAAAGATGAACTCTGACTTTGATTTGATGCTTTTGAACTATGGTAATGGAGAAGACACTTGAGAGTCCCTTGGACTGCAAGGAGATCAAACCAGTCAATTCTAAAGGAAATCAGTCCTGAACATTCATTGGAAGGACTGATGCTGAACTTCCATTACTTTGGCCACCTGATGCGAAAATCTGACTCACTGGAAAAGACCCTGATGCTAGGAAAGGTTGAGGGCAGGAGGAGAAGAGGGTGACAGAGGATGAGATGGTTGGATGGCATCACTGACTCAACAGACATGAAACTGAGCAAACTCTGGGAGATAGTGGAGGACAGAAGAGCCTGGCTTGCTGCAGTTCATTGGGTCACAAAGAGTTAGACCTGACTGAGTGACTGATCAACAATAACAGTCTGACCATGAAGACTAATCCTTTGTCATTGGGGAGCGTTTGCCCCCCCATCTGACTTCTAATTTTAGAACCACATAGCCCACTCCCCGTGTCCCCAATCTTTGCCTCTGTCTGTTCTTCAGGAGTTAGTCAGGGTGCATGGCTGGGAGCAGGGATTACAGGTGGTGTTACAGATTCTTGGTCTCTTCTCTCTGGGCCAGAAATAGGAACTCTTAGAAATTTTAGGAGATAAGATACAGCGATCAGTCACATGACTCTGTCTCTGAGCACGCACATTCTTCTTTCCTTGCGTGAGTGGCCTCAATTAGATGGTACCTTCATGACCTTCTGCTCCTCTCCTGATGGCTCACACACTGCCTTCTGATCAGGGAGCTGAAAATGACAATCTGAGTGGGCTTCTCTGGTGCAACCGCCAATCACAGAGGTGCCAAGGAGATGCAGGTGGGGGTCTGCAGGGGGCCTGAGGGGACCATGCACCTGCCTGGTGGGATTGTTACAGGACTGGCTCCTGGGTTCTTTAGTCCAGGGAGACAGGGCTGTGATTGAAGAAATGCTGCTGGAATTGAGGGGTCTGCTCTGAACCTTCTTCACCTGGAAAAGCCTTTTTTGTGCAGGAGAAGGGGATGAAGTCATTCTCTCCCAGTCCTCCTCCCAAGCCTTCTCCTCAAGGTCAAGCTTACCGGCCCCAAGGCCCAGGGTCCACAGAAGATGGGGGAAAGGAGGGGGTTTTTTATCTTCATTTCTGTGTTCTCTGTGCAGCAGTGAACCAGCTCTTGGGCATCAGTGGGGTCGGGATCCCCCAGGATGACGCCATCGTCCCAGACAGCACTCCTTGGACACTCATTTGCAGTCATAGGACTCACTTCATTTCAATTGTCCATGATGATGTCTGTTTCCCATGCCAGGCAGGGAAGACTGCACACTGAAGGGTCTCATTTTATTTCCTTTTGTATCTCCAGCCCCAGCCTGCTGCCTGCTTGTTAGTACCCAGGGGACACATGTTCTTTAAAAAAATTGGGAACATCTTAAAATACAATTTTACTGACGGAATGAACACAGATGTACTCTGGATGAAATCCTCGCAGTACAAGTTCAAGAAAAAACAGGATTTGTTAAGTGTAAACACTGGCAAAGAAGACAGACACCCTGGTGTTTCCAGAGAAAGTGACAAAACATCGAGTAACCGAGGGGCTAGGTTTGCTGGGGCCGGGCAGATGGAGGAGACGGCCTGCCCTCCAGTGTGTGGAAGCTGCTTTTGACCACATTTCCCTCCATGGAGAGCGATAGGGAAGAAGGAAGAAGAATTCAAAGCAGTCCAGGAGAGACTGACAATGGTTTGTGCTGGAGATGGGGGCAGGTGGGGGTAGCCAGATCCTGCAAGGCTGGGAGTGTGACGGTGTTGTAACTCACCATTTACTCAGCACTGAGTTCTGGGTTTCTTTATCCATTGATAACAGATGAAGGAGTGATCATCCATGATCAATACATGTTGTTGTTATTCAGTTGCTAACTTGTGTATGACTGTCTGTGACCCCATGGACTATAGCATGCCAGGCTTTCCTGTCCTTCACTATGTCCCAGAGTTTGCTCAGATTCATGTCCACTGAGTCGGTGATGCCATCCAACCATCTCATCCTCTGTCGTTCCCTTCTCCTCCCACCTTCAATCTTTTCCAGCATCAGGGTATTTTCCAATGAGTCAGATCTTCACATCAGGTGACCAAAGTATTGGAATTTCAGCTTCAGCATCAGCCTTTCCAATGAATATTCAGAGTTGATTTCCTTTAGAATTGACTGGTTTGATCTCCTTGCAGTCCAAGGAACTCTCAAGTGTCTTGTCCAGCACCTCAATTTGAAAGCAAGAGTTCTTTGGCTCTCAGCTTCCTACATCTATACAGGACTACTGGAAAAACCAAAGCTTTGACTATATCGACCTTTGTCAGCAAAGTGATGTCTTTGCTTTTTAATACCCTGTCACTGTATAGGCTATCAGTTATTGAGCCCTTATGTGCTTGAAGGGCTTTGAAGGCATCACCTCAGTTCAGCTGGTCCTCGTGGTACCCACTCCAGTGGGCGCTGTTATTATGAGCCCGTTTTGAGGAACAGTGAGGTTAATCACCAGCCCAAGGTTGCTAGGATATTGTTGTGGTTATTCTACAGGTTCTGAAATGGCAAGGTGACAGAATGGCAGTGAAGAAGGACACAGACACTCGCCACAAATCATGTGATAGAATCGGTTTTTCATCTACCTGTCTATCCAGGTGAGGTGGAGAGATGTGTTCACTCAAAGTGACTCACTCCTTACCTATCACATCAGTGACATAAGTATTATATGGAATTTCCTTATAATCAAAAATTTTCACCTGAGTATCTGCTGCTAACCCACATCTAACCTTCTCTCTTGTCCAAGATCAAGGGTCTACTAGCTCATTTGATTCAATTTTCTCATTTGTTATATCAAGAAATTAATGGCTTGTCCCTCTGCTACTGCTACTGCTAAGTCACTCAGTCATGTCTGACTCTGTGCGACCCCATGGACTGCAGCCCACCAGGCTCCTCCATCCACGGGATTTTCCATGAAAGAGTACTGGAGTGGGTTGCCATTGCCTTTTCTGTGTGACGAATGATGAATAATGTTGCATATAAAGTGGAGAGCTGTGTCTTTCCCAATCTAACTACTCAGTAATTGTGAGCTAGTATTATTATTAGCAAATAAGAAAGTGCATTTTTTTACTGTTAGCATGTTCTTAGGTGCTTATCCTAAATGTATTTTTTTTTAAGTTACCAAATAGTTTCTTCGCCTCTTTGTATTGCATGAACAAGTCACAAATAAGGCCTACTTGCTTTCCATATAAGATTGAGACCCTCCTCAGAAACTAATACGACCATAGTATAAGCATCTCCCTTCAAAAGGTTTTAGGCTGTTGGAAAGCTCTTTCGGTAAGCTCTGTTGGAAATACTTAGAAGTCACAAAATTGTTACTTAAACGCAGTCCAGGAGTCCAAGGAGATTCGGGTGGAGAAATGTCTTTTTGGTCTGCTTCCAGTGGGCAGAACCATGATGAACTCCGAGCCCTTGGTCCGCAGTGCAAGGCGCTGTCCTGTCCCAGGAGGAGGCAGAGGCCCAGGGAGGCCCAGCTGCTCGCTCAGGACCTCAGGCTTGGGTGTCAAGCTGGGACTTGAGACCTTTGCAGCCAATGCCCCACCCGACCCCTGCCATGCCCCTCTGTGGGCTCAGGCTGTGTGCGTGAGTGGTGGATTCGGTGTGTGTGCATGAGTGTGTGTGTGTGAATGGGGCATCTCTGTGTAGGTCCCATAGCAAATGCCCTGACTTGCATGGTTCTTCAGTGACAGACACTTTGTTAAGAAGATACATTGCCTCTGTCCTTCACTTGACAGGTTTCAGCCTTTTTTGGGGGAAATAGTACAGTTAGAAAGAGAGCCCAAGAATATGCCAAAATTATGTAAACCATGAAAAGGTATTTCCAAGAATCTGAGGAGACCCTCCCTTCTCTTTTGGTAAACAGTGGTCTTTGGGAGAGACTCTTGAGAACTGGCAGGTACTCGGATAGCTGAGAGAACAGCTCAGGGCCACCTCCAGCTCCGTTGCAGCCTGGTGAGTTCACAGACGTGAATGTTCAGTTTTAGCCATATTGGCCATCCTGTGGGACATTGTCATTTCCATAAGGGCTTCCCTAGTGGCTCAGATGGGTAAAAAAGTCTGCCTGCCATTCAGGAGACCTGGATTTGATCCCTAGGTCAGGAAGATCCCCTGGAGAAGGGAATGGCAACCTCTTCTGGTATTCTTGCCTGGAGAATCCCCTGGACAGAGGAGCCAGGCAGGCTACAGTCCATGGGGTCTCAAAGAGATGGGCATGACAAAGCGGCTAACACCATACATAAATTTGCCTTCATCTTCCACGAGACATGATCCTGGAAATCTGGCTTTTTGTGGCTCCTTTCTCTCTTCCCAGCCAGGCTTTTCAGAAAACTCCCTGCCCCATTCCAAACAGGAAGTTTGGGCAGCAGTGGTACAAATGGCCCCGTATTATGTGGGATGTCACCCATTGTTGTCGGGACAAAGACATCCTGAAATTAGGACAAAGGCTTCAATCCACCAGGGTCCGGACCCTTCAATAGCCCCACATTGTATCTGGAGAGTGATTGAGTGAACTGGGTCATTCCGAGAATATACCTAAGCTTCTGAAACTCTGCTATTATCAGGCTGCCAGAGCGGAGCTCCACACAGCATAGGCAAACAGTACTGGGAGTAACTGGGGGCTATCTGCTCTGCATACATGCAAAGCAGGGACTTTCTGAATAGACGTGCTTCCTGGCAACTGGATAAGTGAATGGGAAAGAGTGTTAGGGGAATGATCCATAACTCAGTCCTATGAGGAAAAGCAAAATGTTTATTCATTGAAAGTGTTATTGAAGTTTCTCTTTTGAAATGCTGAGCATACCTCACACGGTTCTCAAACTCTGAAGAGTGCATGTATTTTCTATTTTGTTAGAAGCAAATACTGTGTTAGAACAAACTAACCAGCTTTACCCGAAGCTGGGTGACGCTCCTGTTCAGCTACAAGTGATTTTCACTGATGGCTTCTCTTGTCAAAGAATTTCTGGGTGTGGGATTAAGTACCATGAACCGTGTTTATCAAGTGGAGCCTGACCCTGCTCAGACAGGACTGCATGTGGCAACCTTTTTCTCTGTCTTCATAGCAAAATTTCTAAAACATTTTCAAAAATGTTATCTGAGACTGTGGCTTGTTGTTGAAGTTGTATCCAACTCTTTGCGACCTCAGGGACTGTAGCCCACCAGGCCCCTCTGTCCATGTGGCAGGGACACTGGAATTGGTTGTCATTTTCTCTTTCAGGGAATCTTCCCAACCCAGGGATCAAATCCACATCTCTTACATCTCCTGCACTTGCGGGCAGGCTCTTCACCACTGGCACCACCTGGGAAGCCCTTGAGATTGTGGATACAATAGGATTAAAGAGATGGCTATTCATTGTTTTTCCTTTTCCCTCTGTTGATTAGACAGTTCACCCTCCACCCCAGCTCTGTTCCACATGTAACCACGTCCTCCTCCTTCAGTCCACCATCCTCCCTTGGCATCTGTGTCACATCCATGGAGACACATGTGAGTGACTTGTCAGAGTGACTGTGCCTTAATGGACGAGATATTCAAGTAAATTCATAAATCCACATTGAACCTCCCTTTTCTAAATACATTTTTGAATGCGTTTATTTCCCTTTGAATCCCCTCTTCTTTAATCCCCCCCAACAAGCATGGGACAAAGATGGAACAGGTCTTATTTTTTTAAATTTTACTTTAATTGTTGATCACCCACCCACAACAGTCAGATTCTTTTACCAGGAAATGAGACCTAAGGTGTTCACAGCCTGAGCCATTTGGGAATTGGTGCCTGTCGATCCTGTGACCCTCTCTGTATCTTGAGATGTGGGGAAGGGGTCCCGCCTATAGGTCAGTCCTGCTGCCTTGACCCCTCTCTGCCGTGAGGCCCCAGGACATCTCAGGGTTGAGCTGAGACCCCCACCCCCAGGCCGTCTGTGCGAAGGTGAGGCTGGGCGTCTGGGATGAGATAGAAAATGTGCGGCAGACTAGAAGCTCTTTTTACAGCAGCCGATAGAGCATCTCAAGCCTGGTGTCGCCTTCATGTTTCTTAGTCACGTCATCCCCGACCTTTGAAAACACCTAACTTTGCAGATTCGACTGTAAGTTATAATTTTCCCCTAAAATGCAAAAAAACATAACTAAAAATGTTAACTGACCTCTTCACATCAGTAATGCTCTTACTGAAAAGGAATAAAGCAATTGATAAAGGCATTAAAATGTGATTCAGCCAGAGTGCTTGCCTAAACCACCCATAAATCCCTTCACTGGTGTCTGTGTGTCCACAAGGCTGGGCCGCCCAAGCCCCATCTTGCAGCCACCGGCAGACTCAACAGCCTGGGTGCAACTTCTCCTAAACCTCCCTGTTCTCACTAAGCCAGCTGGCATTTTGATTTTACAACATAAGAATGCAATTGTTTTATAATCAATTCAACCCTCCAACATGTCCAATGGCTTTGATGGACCCAGACTGCACCAGGGACTAAGAATGGGGCCCAGCAGGCCATCACACCTCCATGGGCACTGCTCTCCAAGGATTCCAGGGAATAGTACCCTCTGGAGGTGTTCAGTGGTCTTGCACTTCTAAGAGCTTACATTCTTGGGGGACTGATATAGACACTGCTATAGACTGTCTGTGTCCCCCAAAATTCATATGCTGACTCTTAACCCCCAAAGTGATGGTGTCAAGAGGTGGGGCCTTTGGGAGTTGATGAGGCTATGAGGGTGGAGGCCCAAGGATGGATCAGTGACCTTATAAAGGAGAGCACACCCCTTCCTCAGCCCTTCCTCCAGGTGAGGACACAGTGAGAAGACACCATCTGTGAACCAGGAAGAGCCCTCACTAAACACAGAGGCAGATGTCACCTTGATCTTAGACTTTTACCTTCCAGAGCCATGTGAAATCTGTGTCTGTTGTTTGTGAGGCCCACTCTGTTCTATTTGTCACAGCAGCTAGAGTGGACTGGGACAGAAACAAATGGGTGAGGGAGCCGCAGAATTCAGGTGAGAGTTTCTGAGAAAGTAAACAGAGGGTTTTGGAGGGTGACCAGGTTCCAATAGCTTGAAAAGTTAAGATTTCTCCAAAGTGGTGATATCATACATGAGAGCAATGAGGAGGACCCAGGCAAGGAAGGTCTGGAAGACAGCACTGCATGTGGACTGTGGGAGCAACAGCCCCAGAGCCGGGGGCAGAGGGTGGGTGCCTGGTGTGGAAGAAACGGGGAAGAAAGCCAGGATGGGCTGAGGAAGGTGCAGACGGCAGTGGGTGGGGGATTCCTGCCCCTTTATCTTCAGAGGGTCAGGAAGCCACCTGGGCTGAGGGCAGGGGAGGGTGAACAGGCTGATGCTGTGGGACCACAGGGATGCTGTGGGAACAGGTTCTGGGAGCCGGAGGGGAAGCAGGGAGGCAGTGTGAGCACCTGGGGCTGGTCCAAGCAGGAGGTCATGAGGCCTGGGAGGCGGGGGCAGTGAGGGTCCATCAGGATGAACTCGCTGATCGAGTCG